CATACTTCTTATTTGTTTAGGATTATGCTACTATTTATTCAAATGAGTAAGTTATACTACTTTGCAAAACAAAGGTGTGTATATATGTATGAGATCTTTTTAAAAAGGATATATAGGAACCATTAACATTTGTATCTAGCAGGCAAGCTAGGAAGCATACGGACCAACCAACAAGCAAAACCAGTTCTTTTACTGTAAATAAACTTCATTTATATATGTGTGGAATTATCAAAGCTCAAGGGATTAATTTTTAATGAATGTATACTATACAAGTACAAGTTGCATTGTAAAATAAAATTTAGGGGGAGAGAATTGATCAGTAAATACTGGTACTTAAGAAATAATTAAAGCAATAAATTTGAAGAAATAAGTAGACATTCTCCTGCATATTACTAAGAAAGAAGAGAGGAAACAAATATATTTGGATTATGATCAACTGGAACTTGATAATATAGCAGTGCTTCCTTGGACATAGAGTTGTTTGTTAAGTATAAATTTAGATTTAAATTGCTGTGGAAATAATCCTTCTGATTGTTTACTTAGGTTTTTAAAATGATCTACGTAATGTAAAACTCAAGTTATTGTTATAAAATGCTTTGTATTTCTGTACTCTTTGCTTTTCTCCTTTCTCTTCTACCTCAAACTGTTAGGTCTTTCAGCTTCAATATCAGCATACTAAATTGTGGCATTTGGATATCAGTTAAGAGTGCTGGAATGCATCCTATTTTTTATTAACAATATTAATTGGATATATTTAAACTGATTCCAAAACTAAGTTTTATTAGCCTATCATTTAGACTATGAAGTAATAATTCACTCAAACAAGTATTTACTGATTTCATGGTCAGTTTAGGGACAGCCCAATAGCTAAAATGAATAAATTGAAGCATTTCCCCTAACTACCAGAGATACTCCAAGCTAAATTTAGTCTATATGTGGGTTGGAGTTGAAGAAATGGGCCTGGAAATATTATTGTGATCTAATTATGTCTGGCCAACTGGAACACAGCACTAGAGTGAGACAGTAAAGGATCTCATATTATAGCTTAGTTTTATTTACATCTTTGCTAAAATAGCCTAAAATAACCTTTTGAAGTCACTAATTGTATTACTAATGTCATTAAAATACATAGGAGGTCTGAACCATTAAGGTAGCTGAAATATGATTTCATCAGAACTTTTTGACACAGTGAGTGATTGATAAATATTATGTGTTGACTTTTGCACTGTGAATAGTTAATATTATTGCATGGTAGGGAATACACATAGACACAGAAACATAAAACAATTCCATAAATGCTATAAATATATGGGGCAAAATGTAGTATAATATACATACATGCACACCATAACTTTTGATGCATATTTTTATTAATTTAGTTATCTTAATTTTCTTTTTGTTCAGCAGTGGTGATTCAACAGTGGCATCTTCTGTTATCTAGTAGGTGTGAACCCTAAGTTAAGTATGCTCAATATACAGGTTTTCTTTTCTAGAATGTAGTACACACCCTTTACTCAGATTAGTTACCCCATTGGCCAAATCCATTAATATGTAATGTTTGCAGCTGCCCATTAATATAACTATTCTTAGCAAAAAGTTCTAGAATGCCCCAGGTGTGTTTTTCATAGCTGACTCAGAAAAGCAGTAAAATATTACAGATGTTCAATGTTCAACTGTATCTGACTGTCATGAGATTTAGAAAAATTTAGGTTTATTAGACTCCTATAACCACATTGTAAAATCTGTTTAGAAATTGGTAAAGGATACTGTTAATGATATTTAGTTTAAATAGGTTAAAGCATTAAGTTCTTTTTGCATACTTAAAAGTAAATCTTAAGTAACTTAGTTTTTTGATGGAATAGCCATGGGTCAGTCACCAGGTTCTATTTAGATTCAGAGATTTTTAAAAATTTTTTTATTTTAACTTTTTTGGTTTTGGTCAAGGAGAGGTCTTGCCATATAACCCATTCTGGCCTTGCACTTGTGGTCCTCCTGACTTAGCCCCCCAAGTGCTGAGATTACAGGTGTTGATTCAGATCCTCTCTCCCCTCTACCGTTCCCAACTCCTACCATGTACAAAAACAGTCATTCTTTTGTGCGCTGTTCCTTAACATTTTCTACAACCTTGGTTTGGGTCTCAACAGTTGGCTTCTGATGAACTGTTGCAGCCTTTTGGTGGATCTGGCTTCCAGATTTTCCTCCCCACTCAGTCCACCCTACAAAGGCACTATTCTGGCAGTGCCTGGTCACCATTCGTGTCTGAATGCACTGTTCAAAAGGTGTCTCTGCATTGCCACAGCTTCTGGTTGCTTCTGATTATGCTAAGACAACTCTCAGTGTAGCCCTGAGGGTCTTCCTTAGGCTGGTATTTCATTTCCTTGAGCTCCTTTTCTCATTTCTTTCTTGCCTGTAACTCTGATCTGTTATCTGAGACTAGTTTCCAATGTTCTTCTCCATAGTCAGACTACTACCTAGTCCTCAAGACTTCCTTCTTTTGGGAAAATGTTTCCCAGGCAACCACAGATTGTAGAGGTCTTTTTTCCCCTCCTTTGTCTTAGAGTATTCTTCACTCCTCTTTTTACCCACTGAGTAACATGGTTTTTACATTTGTAGCTTGTTAGGCTTTGTGTAGCTGATTCTCATTTTTCTCATTAGGCTAGAAGCAGAGAAGCAGCAAGGTTTGGCATAGTGTGTAGGTGAGCGAGCCTTGGATTTAGACTGCCCAGCCTACCTGCATCATGACTCCGAATTTCTTTCTCTGTGCCTCAATTCTCTTACCCATAAAGCAAGCCAATACTAGTTCCTAAGCATGAGTTGGTATTGTTTATTTATTTTTGAGAACAGTCTTGTCTGTGACTTCAGTGAAGTGAGTATAATGCCCTATACATTTAATAAGTAGATTTGTTTACTGTATTTGGTAAATTTTTTTCCTTTTTTTTTTTTTTTTTTTGCTATTAGTCTTTTGTTCATCCTTTTTAGGGTTTTTCCTGAACCAGTTCACTGCACAAGCAGTTCAGGGAGATCTCCTACATTCTCCTTTAGGACAAAGTAATTCTCTGAGTCATACAAGGGATGCTCAAAATTTACAGTGAATGTTTAAATTAAAAAAATTAGGGCCGGGGATTTAGCTCAGTGGTTCTGCTGCCTCTCTTGTAAGCGCAAGGTCCTGAGTTTGATCCCTGGTACACACACACAAATATATATATATATATATATATATATATATATGCGTATATATGTATATACGTGTATATATATGTATATATGTATATATGTGTATATATATGTATATATGTATATATGTGTATGTATAGTAAAAGATACATTGCCATTAATTTCCCTCAAACTATTACTCCTTCCTTTGTATATACTTATCCCGTCAGTTTTGCTACTTTCTGAAGCAGTTCTGGAGGTCTGTTTTCAAAAATACAGTGAATGCTGCTGCCAAGTGCCATCTAACCATCCAAGGGAGACAGGTTCTTAAAAACAATATGTTGTCCTTAACCACCTTATTCACTAGATCTGGCACCATGTGACTTCTGGCTCTTTCCCAGATGGAAAGTGACCATGGAAGGCAAACATTTTTTTTCTTTCTTGGTACTGGGAATCGAACTCAGGACCATGTCGCTTGCAAGGCAGGCAGCAGAACCACTGAGCTAAATCCCAGGTCTGAAGGCAAACATTTTTAATTGATTTAGGACATTGAGGCAGCCATGGCAGCACAACTAAAGATACTCACAAAAGAGGACTTCCAGAACTGGTTCAGAAAGTGGGGAGAATGATGGGATAAGTCTGTTTAATGTGTGGAGGAGTGTTTTGGGGGAGATTAATAGCAATGTGTCTTTTACTGTAATTAATTTCTAAATAATGATTTAAAAACTACTCACCATAGTTTTTGATCACATCTCATATACAGGACAGGTTTGTGTTTCTTCCTGAAACACATATATACCTCATAAACCTCATATACCTCATAAACTGGACAGGTTTGTGTTTCTTCCTGAAACAGCTCCCTGTTTTCTTCACCCAAAAATCCAGATGGTGTTAGAACCCTTTTTCTATGAATATGTGAGGTTGGATTTTATTTGAGGTCTTTAAATTCTTAGGTAGCATGATGTCCATTGTCAGAATATACGAGCTGGTTGTTATTTACTATTTAAAACATTAAAAAAGCCCTCTAGAATATTATTTTTTATTTATTTATTTATTTATTTTTTGGTACTGGGGATTAAACTCGGGTCCTTGCACTTGCAGGGCAGGCGCCAGACCCACTGAGCTAAATCCCCGGCCTTAGAATATTATTTTTGTATGTGAAATTCAAATCTCTCAGGTTGCAGAGTTATTTTGAATCTTGAAAATATGAATTTTCTAGTTGTATGTTTCTGTTGTATCTATTGAATATTATATTGTATCTATTTTACTTAACACTCTTTTAGGTACTTACTATATGCTAATGTAACTCAAGAAATAACTTGTTGAACCCTCAAAACAACTCTGTGAAGGGTTTCTGGTACTAGTCAGAGAGGAAGAATCAGGTGAAACTAATTGCCTGTGAATGCAGGTGGTCAGTGGTGGTGCTGGAATAGATGTCTGGCAGTGTGGTTGGCGCCCCTACTTCACATTACCTTTCTCTAACTGGTTCTGGGATCATTAACCACCTCTGCCATGGGTATTTTTGCTTTGTTCCCTCAACCAACAGGTTAGAAGTTTCAGAGACATCCAAAGTCAAGCCAATTGGCATTCCAAACCTCAAAAAATTTTCCATTTCTGTTGCAGTTTAAAACATAAAAGAAAAGAAATGCATTGGCATTACCACAAAATCTTGTGGAGACTTTTAGGAAAGCTACTTGCTAAAATAAATTCATATCGGGTATACTTTATTTACTATTGGAGGCTAGAAATTCAGTATTTCAGCAATAAAAATGCAAATGTGAAGTACAAAATATATACTATAAAATAGTTTGGGGACTTATGAGCTTTAATCCTTTTATCTATTTTAGGACTTTCTGGGACAAGTGTTTTGTACATTGGGGGAGATTGTTGGTTCACAGGGAAGTCGCCTGGAAAAACCAATAGTGTAAGTATTTTCTAATTTAGACAATGAAATGCCAAGCTTTCCATTTCTATTTTGGCAGTTTGGAATTTATGAATACATAGTTGTAGACCAAAAGTGGGTCTAAAAATCTGGTTGCAATTTTTTTCTTCCAATAATTAACTTTGACATATTTGTAAAGGATCATTTATACTTCTGCTGTCATATGCCATGCTAAAAAATGTTCACAGGATGAAAGGATCAGATTTTAACAAGGAAATGTGTTGTTTTCTTTTTGGTTTTACGGTTAATTGTTAGATTTTGAATTTGTTGAAAAAGAGATTTTATTCCTTTTTGTCAGCCATAGGCACCATTGGCTTTGGCCTGTGTTCAATATGTTTTGGTGATTGAGATTTTAATAATGAGTTTTGATATAAAAGCGATCCATAGAGAGAGCTATATGTCTGTGTATGTTGAGAGAAGGCAATTTTTATGAAGTATACCTTCCGTCTTCTCCAATTACTGGCATCATGTTTAGTTTTCAGGCCAACTGCATGGGATGATCCTATTTTCAGTTTAAAATAAGAGAGAAACAGACTGTAGAAATATACTATGTTCCTTTCCTCTCCACTTTCTCCTCCTTTTCCCTTCCTAATCCTGATTATTTAGATTCATTCATCTCTTTACAAAAATCAGAAGCTCCCAGAACAGTACAGCAATACAGAATGAATCACAATGTCAAAAGGTTTTGGAAATTTTAAGTCCCTGACTTCTTCATTCTTTTAAGAATTTCAAATTCAATTCCAGCACTTGGGAGGCTGAGGCAGGAGGAATGCCATGAGTTTGGGGCCAGCCTGGGCTACCATAATGAGTTCAAGGCCAGCCTGGACTGCATAGAGACCTTTTCCTAAAAAAATAAATGAAAATCTCAAACTCATAAAATAAATATGTCAGAACCTCATAAATCTGTTCATTTCTGACATCACATACTTGAAATGGCCAGTGTATCCTTTTTACACTCTGTATAAAATTAAACTTTTTGCTTAGTGTGATCAGTTCTGTATAGGAATTTCTTAAGCTAATATGAATTCTATTACTTTAACTTCTTTTATTTAACTCTATTTTCTTAGAAAACTATTACCAAATGTCAGTTTGAAAACTTACACATATCAACATCCCTTTAAACATTATTTTCATGTGTAATTATTTCCCTGTAATTATAGGACTTTGATGTTTATTATTAAAATATATATATGCTCATGTTAATAACTAAATAATAAGTAATCCATACAGCTAATAAAACTATTTTATTAAATGCATATGATTCTTATTGCATTTTTTAGTAGAGCCCACAAGGATTCTTGGAAGATCACCTGAGTCTACTTCCTCAGACTTTTAAAAAATGTTTTATGTTGAAACCGGGTCTTCTTAAGTTTTCAGACTGACATGAAACTTGATCCTCCCGCATCAGCCTCCTGAATAGCTGGGATTGTAGGTGTGCCCCACCATGCCCAGTTTACCTTTTTTTTTTTTTTTTTTGGTGAAAAAAATTGATATATACAACACTACTTTAAAGGTGCATTTAATATTATCTAAGAAAAAAAGGAAAGCAAATAAAATATCAACTTTTCATTTCAGACCACAGCAATAGAATATGAAGAGTTTTATGAAGTGGTATTCATATTTTTAAATTGATGATTTTACTGGAAATTTCTAACTGCTCTTATTTTCTCTATAAAAGGAAATCATAATTCTAATTTCAGAAAACTGAATTACAATTAATTTTTCACACTGAAAATAATAAAATTCTATTTATTGTTTTGAAAAATGTTAAGTTGATATTATTGTATTGGTTGGGCTATTGGTAATTCCAGTATAACGTAAGAGGTAGCCGTTGGTCAACTGAGTGTAAACTTACAGTAGACAAAACCAATAAACACCCATTCGTGCTCAGAGGTGAAGATCTCTAGGATAGCGACTGGAATAAAGTGAAAGTGTTGGGGGAACTTCCTGGTAGTTGAGTCGCAGTCATTTTGCATACCGAGGAAGGATGGGCTGGGCTTTGGACTTTTCTTAACTCTCGCTGAGGATGAAGTACCAGGAGGAGACAGTTTGGCAACCTGTTCATATGATATGGACCTACTGAAGCTACATGCTGTGCTTCATTGGTAGGCTATTTTGAAATTTAGATAACTCTATTGAAAGTGTCAGTGTTACAGCTCTTATGGAAAAATATGCAATTCATTCATTTTCTAAGAGTACATATGTAACTAATCTTTTATTCAGTCTTTGACCTTGCTGAATAGTCTTCTCAGGCACATACACATTAAGAACAGGTTTAGAAGTAGGTTCACTGAAGAGTGGGAGAGTTTTAGATATTTCTAAGAGAAAGTTCAGCTAGTCAAGTGCTGAGTGTGTATTGAAATGCTGAGCTTGAGTGTAGCACAGAGACTGGCTACAAAAGAGAAGCAAAGATTCGGAACTATAGGAATTGCAGAACGGGAGCTTATTATGCAAGGGAATTAAATGAGATGAGTTCCATTAAGGTAAATGGAACAGAGGAAAGATCCCAGAGAGAGAAATCAAATGGGAGAGATTCATCAAAAATAGGAGATGAAACAGAATATGGTTAGTTTGCTAGTGGAAGGGCATTTGGCTTTGTTATTTAAAGCATCCAATGATCTACTCAGGTGTTGTCACCTCAGCTATTGAACACTGGATTGAAGAAATTTTGTAGTCACTCACCCTTTTGCTCTAGAAAAGACTGGCATTTATGAAAACTTGAACAATGAGAGAGGTGTGAAACTGGAGGAAGAATTTGTGGATTGAAGAGCAAGTTCCACTGGAACCTGGTGTTAAGGATGAAGTTAAGGGCTTGGAGTGAAGATAGGGCTTCTACATGAGTGACATTTTGCTCCCTTACCTCAACTCCAAATAAAAAAACTCGAAACGATTCATGCTTTCTGTTTGCAAAAGCACATTTGGGTTGAGGGAAATACTGCCTCTGGGAGCTTTATCTGCCCATCATGTCAAAGCAGCCCTTCAAAGCAAGGGGTCCTCTCCATGGACCGTTTCAGAGTCTGAGTTCATTCTTGCTGACTCTACTCAGAGTCATCCTTTCCCAAGCAGTTGACTTTCTTCCTGAATCAGTGTAACATGCACATGGTGAGGCAGTATGAGGAGGTGGGAAGACTTGAAATATTTCAGGGGAAGATGGAATGGCTTCAGAGGAAAGCATGAAGCCAGGGAGAATATGGATGATGCAGAGTCAGAAAGATTACCTTTTCTTTTCTTACAGTAAGCTCAGTGACAGGCAACTTGAAAGCTGACATAAAATATAAAGCAATCACACAAAATCTAAAACTAGTGGAAATTATGGCAAAAATGATGCACTTCATATTGGGGAAAATGATAGGTGTTTAAGATGTAGGTCTGACATTTCTTCCCCTAGTCTCTGTTCCTCTTCCTCCCTGTGAACCTTCCATGGCCAACTCTTCCCTTTTAGTTAAAGATAACATGGAAGGGCAGTCACCAAACATCTTACTGCTTGTTATGATCTGTCCCTTATGGCTGGAGATTAGAGTTTGCCACCCGTCCTGGTGCAGCATTACCCTTGAATCTTGTTAAGGAGTTAGGTGATCTTCCCTATCCAGGTGAGTAGGCTTCTGAACTGGAGCTCAAGACATTTCCTGAGGCAGGTAATCCATCCACAATTAACCAAATTGACTCATCTTGACTTAAAAAGTCTTCCTGTGTCCCAAATATTATTTATCTTAAACAGCATTGTCTAACTCATTTAACTCTCATTTACTAATTTGTTTCAGAGTAGAGATTTATTTTCCAATTAGTTTCCCATTTATATTTTAAATTATTCAAAACATTCCTTTGTTTTCATCTTTTTTAAGTGGCTTAGTTTAAATTATTTTCTGATAAGGTTTGCAGAAAAATTTCTTCCACCTTCTTAATTGCAACTGTGCTGTAATGTCTCCTCAGAGACAGTCTTTTTAAATTGATGATAACTAAAATTCAGAGGTTTAAAGGAGACCAACAAGAGTTTTAAATTATTTATTATTAATCAAGCCTTTGAAAACTAAGCTAGATTTGCTGCAAAGGAAGAGTGGTTGCTTGTGTACAGCTTCATGCTTTGTTAAATAATAAAAATGTAAATTTAAATTTAAGGCTTTTTACTTTTCTGCTTTGTATTGTTGTCTTTTTAAAATGAGATTTTCTCATTTTATGGTGAAATGAAAGTTAAAATATTAAATATTTTGGAAGAACTAAAGTGAAATAATTTGAAACTGATGTTCTTAATTTTATTTATTAATTTATTTTTTAATATCTCAGGATTTTCACAACTTCAACCAATCTGTTCTGTTGGCTTTGATCTTTGCACAACTGCACTTCTCCTACCCTAATTCCATCATACCCTTCTGGTCTTTTTTTCTTCACCCTCCTAAAATGAGTCTTGTGCTACTTAATTTGTCTGCAGCATTTGCTGTGCCTTCCTATGATTCATCAGCTCCTCTCTTTAGATTGTCCCATTATTAGTTAGCATTATTCCCACTCAGCAGTGTGTTTTCTCATGCTGGGAGATTGTATCCAATTTTCTGTGTGATGCTGTCAGAGAATCTTACTTTGTCTATCTTTAGGGATCTCAGTGATGGATTCAGCGAAGCTTTTTAAAATGCTGGAATCAGCACCAGCTAAGGAACGACTGCCATTCTCTCCCTGTGAGGGAAAACATTTATTATGTTCATCAAGTAATAGATCTGTGTGTTCCTCTTGCTGTCAGCCAGGCATGATTGAGTCTGTATAAAAAGATGGGGCAAGGAGGGACTAGTGATTAGAAAGTAGATTCTTACTCTGGGGAGGAGCAGGAACCCTGGGATAACTGAATGATCAGCTGTTTTGGCTATAGAAGTAGAGGAGGGAAAGGCTGTGTTCTTTGTTCTTTATAGGCAGGCAGTAGCAATTTGTGATCTAGGCAATTTGGGAGGAGGAGAAAGGGAAGGATCCAAAATGGATTAGTGAGTGGGGTATCCTTA